GACTATCAACCTTTTAATAAAACTTCCTTTTCCTCAACACTATCCTAAAAGGTGTCTTCCTCCTTTCCTCAATGGCCAGTGAATCGAGGATCTCCCTTCCAAGCTGTTTCCGGTGTCGTGCGACAACAGTGATGTTTGTGAAGTGAGAACCAGATTTGCATTCCCGACAATGTGCCGAAAGGTGGCCCGCCGGCGTTAGTGCGGCCACGGAGGCTGCATGTTCTCTGGTGCGGTTGTTTATGCATCTCCCTGTTTGCCCTATGTTGCTTTTGCCACATGACATAGGGATATTGTATACGATTCCTTTTTCGCATGGGGCGTAGGGTGTTCAATGGGCAGTGCCGCAGGCCGACGTCACGTTCTGGTCGGTCTCCCAAATCACCCTACGGGACGTGGCGTGCGCCTTGTTGGGGGCTGAGCACACAACGTGGATGCCTTGTCGGCCAGCGATCTTTTTTAGACGATAAGTGATCCCGTGTATATATGGTACCACTACGAAAGGCCTTGGTGGTTTCTTTTTCGTTGGTTCATTTTTCTCCGGATTATGTCGCACTTGCTTACAAAGCTTCTCACATATCACATATCCCCATGTCATGTGGCAAAAGCTACATAGGGCAAACAGGGATGTGCATAAACGACCGCACCAGAGAACATGCAGCCTCTGTGGCCACACTAACGTCGGCGGGCCACCTTTCGGCACATTGTCGGGAATTCAAATGTGCTCTTGACTTCACAAGCATCACTGTCGTCGCACGACACCGGAAACGGCTTAAAAGGGAGATCCTCGAGTCGCTGGCCATTGAGGAAAGTTAGAGCCAGATTGTAGCATATTTTTATCCCGTGAATCCAAATATCACATTCGTTTTCCCTGAAGATGCAACTGCACACAAGAAAACTCGAAAAATTTCCCGCCAGCCGTTACGGCACACCCAGATATTTTGACCACCAAGTGTATGTCGCTCATGTGGGCAGCACGTGCAATTGCAAGCTTACCAGGTATATTCCCCCACACGTGACACCATTTGTGATTTTTTTTGCTGACCTTTCTGAAAATATCAAGAGTGTGCGAGCATGACTATGATGGGTGCTCAATAAGGCGCGAGAGAGCGGAGGTTCCGAGAACTCTGGTTGTGATGTCATGCTCAAAGAGGGCGGGACTTCGGTGCTATTTTCAAAATGTTGTGCGACTGCTTCCTACATCAGATTGAAAAATAATTTCGATATTCATGGTCCTAGAGGCCAAATAAGATGATCCATGTGTTTTTTTCAAAAATACAGAACCGCTTCGGTTTCCCTTTAAACCGAATGTGAGTGCATCTACACTGGTAGTGCACACCCTAAATTTTTTCACTGAAATTAAGAAAGATGCAACTGCCACAAGGATTGGTAGTTTGAGCACCTACAAATAATTGAAGCATTTGTTAAGAGGAAGAATATGTGTGACGTAAATGCAGCTTCCAGTGACGTACTAAAATAATTGTAATGTTTTGGGCAGAGATTGTCAGCAGAGTACAGGGCATAACACAGCACAATCACATGACCGCTAACTTTTCTTATTTTTCTCTTATAATTAAAATGCTGTCATTGAATCTATGGATTTATACGTGGCTTGCACGTGACATCATTTTGCAGTGTTGGGGGTTGTTTTACTTCTTGCAAACTGTGCAGTTCAAGCTTGGTGGTGTAAAATTACTACAGCATTAAATTAACACTAGTGGCTGATATGCCATCAGTATGCCTGACCCTGTCATGTCAGACTGACCTATCTGTTCTGTGGCTCTGTTAACATGTTTTTATCTTTTATTCACCAGAATCGAAGAGGGCCCTTCTCGAGGAGATGGCCATCGAGAGAGAGAGAGAGAATAAACTTTATTTTTATTCTCGAGGAAGTGCAAAAAAAACAGAGCCTCTCTGGACAGCTTTGTTACTTCATGCGCATTAAGAGCGCCGGTGCAAATGAAAATTAGATTTTTTTTAAACGAGAAAGGCAGCATCATAACTGTTATGCACTTTGTATATATCAATGTACATGACTTCATAAATTACATTTCACACTTTTGACTCAATATATGCTGTGCCCTATGCTGTTCTATGTTCTAGTGAAGATATTCAGTTAAGCACGACGTTCACAGGAAGCAGACGAACTTGCACGCCGTATAATCCTTCAAGTAGCCTCGATGCCAGCCGCCTTTAGTGAACTTTCAGTTAAGTGAACTATTTCCTTGGGTCCCTTGAGTTCGCTCACGTGAGAATTTACTGTATTGCAGCTAGGTGACGCTGAATTCCCTACTAAAACCAATAATATGATGTGCCCAACGGGCGGCCACCGTCACTCTGGTGCAAACCCATCTTCTTCCTGCCTTTTCACTGTTGTGTAAAGTTATATTTATAGCCGCTTTCCACTTTTCCTTGTTGTTTTGTTTCGTTTGTAGAGGATCCACACACCTGGATTATCCCTTTTTACTGTGTGTCGACCAGGTTGAGAGACTTTGCATTGTACAATTAGCTATATCCGTACTTTGTGTGCCACTTGCTATGCTACGTTTTGAATTGGTTGTCATGCTCAATTACAATATATAAATTTGTGTTTTTTTTGCAGAACATGTTTATGCCCCTTTTCAGGTATTCCCTTTGGGGTTTACACGCATGATCGCTTTTTGATCAGTCAAATTTGACCTTGAAATTTTTGTTTTCAGGTGTGTCTACAATGCTGTACAGCACAACTGGGGCATCGGGCAGCACGCAAGAATTGACAGACTCCGGGGAGTGTTCCCATCTGCAACCTGCAGGGAACCTATCTCCGCACCCTGTGGCGGCTACAGAGACTGAGGAGGTTCCTCCTGCTGAACCACACGGTAAGTTTGCTGACAATGTAAATTAGCTGAACATAAAAAAACTACAGTTCAGTCATAAATATTGTGTGGGTCAACTTCGTATAAACACCAAGGAGGAATGTATTTCGTAGTACTAACATACATAGAGTGTAGCAACAACATCCATGTCACTATACAAGGCCAGTATGACCAGTGCATTGCACTGGTCTCTGTCTCTAAGTTTTGTTTTCCTATTGCAAAGAGATGTAGGTCCGTTATGAGCCTATTAACAGGACTGAAGTATTCTAATGGCTCCCTTTTTTCTATCAAGAACAGTAACGAGACCTGATGAACCTAGGCATTGCCTAATTATCAGGGACAGACAGCTCGAGTATCTCTCGTTCGGTGCAGTTGTCGAGGTTTAGAAAAAAAATAGTCAAACTTCCCTTGATCATTCGATAAACTCGGGAAGCATAGCATGTCTGGTGTGTGCGTTACGCGTGCATTATGTATGATTGGGTATGTTCAGTTACGAGGAGCTGTGAGATGTTTCAGATAGAAACTCGTGCAGGCATTCCATGCACGACACATTTCTGTTCTCCTCATATTATCAGAATGATCAAGACAAGTTTAAATTCATTCAGAAGTCTAGTGTACGAGCAGTTGTGGGATCATGTTCCTAGCTGCAATTAATCGTTCTCAGGGCAACTGTGCGTGCTATCAGTCACCTGCTAACACGGGCTCCCATAAGTCATTTTCAGGGTGCCTTCATGTGCATGCATCTGTTCCAGAGTACTGACATCAAAGCAGTTTCCTAAGGCTGGTTGACACATTTACGTTGAGTCTGATCGAGTGCGACTGCAACCACTTGCGGCACTTAAGACAAGATAGCGGCGTCTGCGCAGTTCAGCCAATGGCAGTGTTACTATGGTGCCTGGAACGCGTTTTCGATTGGTGTGTTTACTGGCCTATATCCCCCCCCCCCATATTGCGTTCAAAATGGTCCGGAAGTGGCAATAAAATTTGACACAAAAGCTAAAAGTGTCATGCTATCGGGTGTCGCAATCCTAGCGGTTGGTTGCCGACTCATTAGAGGCGCCGGCTAACAAGGTGAGCGGACATAAATAGTTGCTGTTATCGGAATGTCCCCTCTCGAGTTCACTTGAGTTTCCGTCAACTGTTGAGCAGCAGAGTCAGACAAGGTAGAACAGTCGTCTGCAAACTGTACCTTTGCTGTTGGACCGCCGCCAAGATCACGACCAGCAACAGCATGACACTTTTGTGACGTCACAAGGTGTAAATCGAGGGACCAAAATGAGGACGGCTTAACACACCTGTCGAAGACGCGTTCCAAGCACTGTAGTGTTATCAACACATTTACTGTTTAATGCAGTGAATGGCATCTGCGGTTATGTCTGAATGCATTTTGATACAGTAAGTGCGTTCCCAACACTGCCGTTGGTGCCATCTCAAAGACGCCGCCATCTTGTAATAAGCATTGCAAGTGGTTGCAGTCACACTCGGTTGGACGCAACACAAGTTTGTGAATTTGACTTTTTGCAATGCTTCTTTCTCTTTGCTCTGGAGCATGTAAGTGTCTCAGGTTTGAGCTCATATTTTGCCTGCACTATAGCAGGATTTGTGTTGTGCTATCCCTTTGTGTTCTCTCCACGAGTATGTGCTGTTGATCAGGTACTACAAAGAGTAATGCAAGGAGAACATAGAGGCGCCCTAGTCATCCTTAGCCCAGCTGGTTCCGCTCCCCCTCAGAGCCCTAAAGTAACGCATCGGCGTTTGGGTCACTAGGTCTGCTCTTCGATTCTCATCGCCACCCATGGCCGGTATGCTTATCTCGCAGCTGCTGCTCCAATTGTGGCCAACTTAGCCGCAGGTATTTTATTTCACGAGACCAGCTCCATGGAGGCATGGAAGTACCTAGCGTCCCTGCCTAATGGCACAGACATTTGTGTTGCTTCAAGCACAAAAGTTAGATTTTACTCCCAGAAACCGACTGCAGAGGCTTGCAATTCAAGTTAAATTAACTGCACCCTAACATTTTTGGAGTGGCAGGTAAAGTTACAGCTGGGGTAGACTGTCCTTCATTTCTGTATATAACTCCTTAATTTCATAAAGCCAGCTAGGTTTCTGAAGTTGCTGATGTTGAGAATTTTCAATTTGCACTTCTAGGTGATGCCAGGGCTGCTGGCTGTGGGGAGTCTGGGGATGTTCCTTATCCTCCGCTTCTTGCTGTCCTGGATGGTCAAGTATGCCTACAAAAGATTTTATTAAATGTTTTCATTGAAAGGGCAGTTTTTGGAACAAAAGTGTTCTTGATTATATTAAGAAAGCTAATACCTAGGCAAGCTGATTACGTATGTATCTTAGTATCCTAAGAGATGCCCCACTACCTAAAGGCAGTCCAATGGTCACCTCCGCAGAAACGGGGCAAGCCACAAGGGGAGGCGGGCAAGCCATGAGGGCTGGAAACGACAGTTATCCTTCATTCAGTTAACCCTTGCAGCCATAACAGGCTTGACGGCCCACTGCGTCTAAAATAGCATAATGTAATTCACTAGTAGGTAGTTCATCTTACCAACTCAACTGCAAATCCGCAGGCTTTAAAGTTCGTTAAAAGAGTATGTTTTCTTGGCTTTGTTGCAACAAGATTTTTATATTTTTATCAATCTCTAAAAGTTAGCTTTCCCATTATTTTCACTTCGCTCTTAAATTGAGGTGGCTATCTTTTAGTATAGTATGGTATGTCTACGTTGTCTAATGAACCAATCAGAATGGGTATTTGCTGTAGATGTGGAAGTGCATTAATTATTTTTTTCAGGTGGCAAACAGTGCAATATGTGGTGTGGAAAAGCTTAATTAACTAAGTTTGCATTTTTTAGTGCCAGCACTAGGTAAGTTGGATCGAGGGCTTTTGAGAACAAGGTGCATCACTTATGTAGGCATAACGGAGGGTGCTTGCAGCCAGCTCCATGTAACAAAATATTGTGTCTTCTACTCGGTCACACCACAGACGAATGCCAACAGCTCAACTACCTGAAAATCTGTACTGTTAGGGTTGAGAACTCGTGACTAACCAGTCCACAGAATTAATAACCATGCGTCCTGCTAAATCTGCTACTTTGGGGCTAATCAAATTCATTACCAGTGCTAACATTACTGGTGATACAGTGGCAAACTGTTGCCTCGTTAAAAGAATAAAGTCAAAAGAATAGAGGATAAATCTTATAAAAAATGCAAGTATTAAGAGGGATGCTGTGCCCCCCCGGATAAAAAAGTTGTGTCAAAAATCTATTTTGCATGCAGAAAAATGACAACAATATTCAGGGTGTGAGTAATTTTGCAGTGATCTGTGTTTTCCTTCATGTATCCTTTTTCATTTTACTGTAACCATACCAACATGGTGCAAACAAGTGCGACAGAGAGGAGTGGAGAGGTAGACTGCTAATGTAAATTCCATTGTGCAGCATAAATAGTGAGCTAAATCGTTTCTTCAAGGAAAATGCATGTTTGCAACATGCATGTGGTATACGCACTGTTAAAAAAGTTCTTTTTTTTTGGTTGCAGTTGTTTTTTGACATGCGATGCATTTACAAGTTTTGCATAGCTGATGGTATCTGGACATACAGTAGAATCTCGTGAATTCGAAATCTGTTGGACTGAAAAAAAAATTCCAATTAAGCGGGATTTCAAATTATGCGAAAAAAATAAAAGAACCAAAATCATGTGAGGGAAACCTTAAAAAACTTTTTATCGCAAAACATGATGCAGTTACATGAAGTAATCATCAATATGCTTAACGCGTCCTGTGGTTGGTTATACTTATCGTGTTCTCAAAAATGACGATTGGGCAAATGTTTCCGTACAGCCACCGTATATACATACTCCAATAAACTGCAGACAACCCCTAGCAATTGCACGACTTCTCCGAGAGCAAAGGCATGGGTAACTCGTAGTCGCTGTCATTTTGGGTTTCAACAGCCACACTCCCAGCAATATCACTTTCAGTGTTTGCATAGCATGTCCGCCAGGTGATCAAGGCGCCTTCAACCTCGGCATAGGTAGGAAGACAAATTAGTGAACGCTTTGGTGAGTGTCTTGTTGCAGGCCTAGAGAATTGTCGTCCTCGTCGAGAGGCCGCTTATGTTTCTCGGCAAGCTTCGTTCTCGAAATTGCAAACTTGTCTGCTTTCTCGATGAGGCCCACTTTCGGGCGCGGCGTTAGGGTTTTGTACTTCAGCAGGTTCCCTCCGCACTACAATCGCACATGAGATTGACATCACTGACTCCCAGATCAAATGGAAAAATCAAAAAAGCACACAAATAACTTTTAAGCATGAATTCGCATGCAAGCAGGAAACGGAATGACGAAAACTCGCCATGTATGTTTTCGCTATTGCATTTGGGTGCCGATTTGTGCCACTTAGCATGTAAAAAATGAGCCGGGTCGATGAAAGTCCGGCAACTAACTGGGTAGGTGCGCTCTGGTCATACATATTATTTGGTCATATTTACACTTGATACTATATGGGACCATCGAAATTCTACTAGTTATCCTGGATTTTCAATAAACTGAGGTTCTAATGTATTACTATAGTAATATACTAGTCTGTGGCATACGTGGTCTTTCTTTTCTACTTTAAAATAATTTATTTTAACAAACGGTGATTACAGAAGGTTTTGTCATCTGATGGATAGCATTATGGTACGAGTACTGTAGAGCAATAAAAACCCATCTTTTGTTTGCATATTCCCTTTTTTACTGGTTATTTTGATATCAGCAATGGCGTACCGATTTTTTTAAACTTAGGTCATACTGGTCAAAATTACAGCAGCTCTACAGGGGAATAGAGAGAGCCCTCTTCTTGTATTCTGAAACTGCCTGTCATGCTGCAGGTTCATCTCGGCCACGGCATAACTCTGGCAGAGGCCACGATGACCCACGCTCTCACCCATGCGTCCAGTCCTGGACGGTTCGTGAGAATGGTCAGTCGAGGCCTCTGGGAGCCTGCAGCGCTGTTTGACCGGAGCGTCACCGGACAAGCGTGCAGGCGCCTTCTCAAAAATGGGGCAGTGGGGAAGACACCCCTCACCCCAGAAAAGATCGATGCCGTCATTGGTGAGTGGATTACTCACTTAAGGGATCCTGCCACGGGTTTCCAACTAGGTTTGTATGTGCATAACCTACGCCCAAGCTAGTATTCGCGACTCCAGCCACCTATATGGGGCGCCACCACCAAACAAACATGGTGGCTGAGTCCAGGTCGTGTCAGATCGGCCGAGCCGCCTTAGGAGGTGGCGCGTTCAATTTAACAGATTTTGTTTTGTTTAATGCCCAATTTTATAGGTATTTGAACTAAGACGGTTAAGTATAGCCGGTGCCCATGAACTTGCAAAACATAGTGTTGTTTTCCCGTTTTTTTTTTTGTTCTTTCCTTGTTAAACTTTTGTTTCGGAGATTTCGTTCAAAACCGAAACTATGGGCTCCGGAGAGACGGTGTTATACTAATCAGTTTTGGTCGTCTAAGGAAAGCGGCGATGACTACAGTATTGTTCCACCAAGAGCAATTTTCAGCGAACTCGCATGCCTCGACCATGCAACTTATCTGTCCGCGAAATCAAGCTTTTGTGCGTATCCACATTTAGGAAACAGCTCCAGTCGTCTGCTCGGTCAACAACACAGGCTGCAGGAAAGTTACGAAAATTAAGCAAGCGCTTTTCGAGCCAGGGAGCATGTTAACCCGCCGGCACCCCACTAAGCAGCTGATACTCGTATTTCAATTCAAGTTTTAGTAGCAATCGAGAAGTCTTTTTGTCGAGCGGGTTATGTATTATATTACGTATTATGTTCCACTAAAGCGATCTTAGTATATTCTTCGGGTTGAAATATGGGCTTAGTTGACTAGCTATTAGGTGAACTGCTGAATAAAAGTATATTTGACAGGCAGAGAGATTCTACTTAAACTTAGCCAAATGGTTCTAGCCGGCAGCACGGCGACAAACTGAAGAGAGTCTTCATTGGAGATTCACGCAGAACCTCTCTGCATTGAACTTTGCTTCGAATCCTCAACGATGAAAATTAGCATTTTTTGTGGCAGGTCAAACTGATCAACGTAGACGTATATTGCTGCTGGCTTTGATGGGGGTATAATTTAAATATTGGAGGCGCGATAGATCAAAATGCCGTGACAGCTTCTAAGGTTGCGAGACGCGTCCCCCACCTTTTGAAAACAGACAATTTTCCTCATTCATCATGCAGGTTTTCCTGCTCGCTGCAGGAAAACCTGCAGCGAGCAGGTTTTCCTGAATCAAGTAATTACGAAAGTCAGCCCAACTCCTTCAGAGTGGTGCAGAGGCTTTTTTGGCGAAAAGCAACCAAGATCAATAGCCAACACACCGACCGGCGTGGGTGGTTCAAACTTGAAGCTAATCGAACACAACCAAACTCAAGAAAAGCAGCTATCGAACCTTCCTATTCACTTGACTGCCACATTGGTGTTCCCTGCAGTGAAATGCCTCGTCTGTCGTCCTCAGTTCACTGTTCTACATCCTTATAAAGAAACCACATCAGTTACCAAGTAGTCGTCACTTTGAATGTGAAAAGAGACAGACAAGAAATCAAAACGTTTTTTCCGTGATTCCTCCCCAACCAAGAAATCGAGAGCACGCGACCGTGTGTTGTGGAGTAAACGGACTTTCAACCACGTGATAGAAGGAAACGATCTACTGAGGCTTCACCACACTAATGAACACTCAGGCAAACTCAAGAAATTTTCGGACCTTCGTCAAATTACATCGTTCGCCACAGCGCCGACAACACGCGACTGAGAAAGCCACCAGAGACGCGGCGGGGCGCGGAGCGACCTGGCCCGGCTGGTTCTCGGTTTTCCCGCTTGGTGGCGTCCGTTTTGCTGGAGTCGCGAATATGAGACTTCAGTAACACAGTAAAATGTATTTTTTAAGCAATTTGTGTTACTCAGAATATAATACGTGAAATGAACTCATGATTGCAGCTACCTTTTCTCGTTGGTGATGGCACAGTTGTTGATGGTGCAGCCAGAACCAGCAGCGTTAGTAATTGTTGGAACATCTCTTCATAAAGATGTGAATGGCATATGGATCAGCGGGTGCTTCAGGTGAAGGTGGGAGCAAAAACCACTTGTCAAAAGGTTTGCACATTAATGTCACGTGCACTTTTCCAGCCAGTCTGGATGCCAATGCCGTTGTCAAGACGTCACCAAGCTTACGCTTTTGCCACCGATTGGTGCTCCATTTAAAACACACTTTAATTTTCTTATTGCCTGAAATCCAGACAATAAAAACTAAACACGCTGCAATTCTCTGGTTTTGCAGCTGCGTTTGGCTGCTATGCAGAAAAGCAGGCCAAAATCAAGAAAGACAAGGAGGACGGCAAGGAAGACAAGGAGGACGGCAGCAACAAGCCAGGTCCCAAGAAAGGCAACAAGCCGTCCGTCAGGGACGTGGTGAAAAAGCTCTCAGGTGACTATTTGGTCGATAAGAACAGGGAAGTGGAGAGGGGGAAGAAGAACACAAAGAACGCCCACGAATCTCCGTTAGCAGTTCCCCCACCCTAAACGCCAGTCGCTTCCGCTTTTCGCCCTGTTTCTTTTTTTTTGTCTGCGATATTTTTATTTATTTTTATTGTGTTTTGGCATTATACTTATAAGGACCTTGTGCAATATGTATTTTTATTTGCAAAGCTATTTTTATATGATTTATTAATTATTTTGCAGTCTTGAATGTGTTAACGGTACTGACGGGATAAGTTGTTTCGTTTGTTTTAAATCGAAAACATGCTTTTACGACAAAAACTTGGGCAGCTTCGCAATGCCTCCGCCAGGTGCCGTCAGCCGTGGTGCTGTATTTTGGGTTTTTATCAAAGCTAGACACTGATCTCTGGGGCTAAATATATTTAAAAAAATAGTTTATCATGTTTTTACTGCAATCGCAATAAAAACCTCGGCTTAGTTTTGCGTAAAAACCTCAGTATTTCGTACGGTCATGTGTCCAGTGGTCAAACAACATGGCGGCAGCCAAGCGGGGGTCAGTTTTGCTTGGTGAACGGAATACCAGTTTATCGCTTTAAACCCCTCTGTACACCTAGTTGGCTTTCTTGTATATATTTGTGGTTTTGCCTTATTTTCTTGATTTTTTTTGTAGAGGATTTTGTGTGTGCGGGGTGCGCGGGTCCTTTTGAAAACTAGCACCTCCTCGGCAAATCCGTCTTTTCCCAGGTATTGTGCAATAAAGAATTTTCGCAGTGAATTTTAAAAAGATTATATATTACAAATTTACTAGATGAGTATTTCAATATATATTTACAGGTTCTTAGAAGTTCTTAAAAAAACTTGAATTTTTTTCTTTAAAGCCTCTACGAACCCTGGTGTGAAATGTTTGAGTTGTGAGCCTTAAACATATTTATTTTTAAATGTTTTACACAATTTTAAATGTATCATTCCTCAGATTTTATGCGATTGTGTGTTTTCAGACTATATAAGTGAATCTTCTCGTTTTTTCACAATTCCCTGTGTGGTGTCGTACCTCATTATTTGCAGTGATATTTGTGACTAATCAACACTGACTATGTTCTGCTTTACCGCTGATGTAGTGCAGCATATGCTATAGCCATTCCTACAAACCAAGCGCAGTGAATATGTTGCATGGCTCAACGCATTCCGTGCCGCTGGGTGTTGCCAGAGAGTCGGATGGCATGCTCTCAAGCACTGGTCTGACTCAAAAGGCTCTTAGCATCAGCCTCAGTACACCAGAAGGTGAAACTGAGCATTAGCTCTGTATTAATCTAATTCCTCTTTTGTCCGGAGTGGCCCGGTACGGCCTAATCTCCGGTGTAATTCATTCCGGTTAAATTCTCCGTATTGGCCACATCCGATTTAGCTTACGATTTGACCAAGTACGGTTAGGCCTCCGGATTGGTTGTCTCCGGTTAAGTTACTGAATTGGTTGTCTCCGATTTAGTTCCCGGTTTCATATGACGGTCTGAAACTCCGTATTCATTCCGATTTAATTTCAAACCGTTATTTTTGGTAGGGTTGCCAGCGCATGGCTATGAGGAACATCTGCGAAATATAATGGGTTGCAGATCACGATACCGCTTGCTGTAACTTCGCGTTCAGGTAATGAACGCTGCCTGTTTCGCTCTAATTTATTTTGCTACGACCTCTTCTACGTGGATCGAAAAACAAGCGTGTTTTGTATGGGCTATGAACCTCGAGAAATAATTATAAGGAAGTAATGACACAGGCGAGCTGGTGGAAGTTGACGTCGTCTGGGGTTCTTACCTTTTTTTTTTTCTACTTTCTTTTGGTCTCATTATTTTTCCCGCCTCAGGAGCCTCAAAAATGGTTAAATATAATTCTAAGCAGTGTATACTTCATGTTCAAAATCGTCTCCCGCGCACTTCTGTACACTGATTTATTAACTCAATAGCATTAAGGTGCTCATGTCGCAGAAAAGCCGGCCTCGGTGGAGTGGCAGAAAAGCCGGTGTCGTTAGCGCGAGGCGAAAATCTTGGTTAGTCGATAGGGTCATGACGTCACAGCCACGTGATCTCGCGTGGGGAAGAAAGCAAGTAATTAATTTGCCTTAAAGAAAACTTCTTTTTTTAATTTAAACGGGACTGGAATTCACGACCCTTCGGTCGCGAGCCAGACACGCAACAGACAAGGCCATCTCCGCCGCACTTTTTGCTAACTGGCAGGAAGAGCATGAGAAGTGAATGAGAAGGTTTTTAGAACGGGCCCAATAACGCTATCGCGTTCCATTCTTAAACGCGAGGCTTAAGTGTCCTCGTATTTTTAACGGGATAGAATACACTAGAGAGTTTGAGGTAACCTTCTTGGCACACCCTATACGATACGACGGGCCCTTGGTACGAACTGCGTGTATGCGAGTCTTCTGCGATAGCACATTGAGAGTTCGCACCTTAGGGCCTATCGTACCCTATCGCATGAGGAAAAACGGCTCCCTAAAACTCGCTACTTCAATCCGATTGACTTTAATTCCGACCGCAGCCCACACTTCGATCCTGTGGATCCTACCAAACAATGTATCGTCATGGCGCTTATTTTGTGCGTTAGGTATCACGGACTAGCGAAATCAGACACAGTGAGAGCGCAAGGATTACGTGCTTTTAAAGCGATATTTTTAGGGGTGGCACTTTGCATGGACCTTCGTGTCGGCATTTGTTGTCTATCTTCGCCAAGGGTAGGAAAAACCCCTTCTTCTCCCCACCTATGTCGCCAAAAGAAAGAAGTCGGGTGTTCCCATTTACCCTCGCCGCAACACCACGCGGAGAAGGAAGAGAGGAGCGCCCGGACGACCCACCAATGAAGGCGCGACGTCCAATCGGCAGCGGAGTGCTAATGATGCCTTCAATGCAGGTGTTTACAAAGTTTACTGCCAAAGTGGGATTGCGTTTTACGCAATCCCACTTTTGCAGTATCCAATTGCTCTATGTAATGTTGAAGCGTTTTAGAAACTTCCACCGCGTTGGATTTAGACTGTAACATATCTGCTTCTCGAACCGAACTCGAAACGCGAAATTTGTTTTTCCGAAAACTTGCCGTCCTTCGGCCCGCCTTCGCCGCAGAGTTTCGCCTCCTTTCTCTGCATCCGTCGCCCTCTCCGCTCTTCGCTGAACGTCAACATCACCCTCTTCTTTCACCGCTCAACAACGCCGGGAAAACCTGCGCCAGCCCTAGGGCCCTCACTGCCGCAGACTCTTGCTAAAGGCGCGTTCACACAAATGCGTCGACCGCGTTGCTCTATGTTGCGTCTTCAAGCGCAGCCCCTCACCATCGGCTCGTCGTGGGGTTCGTCATATCAACAGCTTGACGCCAGCAATCTTAAGGCCGTCAAACGCAACTGCTTTATAGAGCCTTAATCGCGCGCCGCGTCAAGGCCGTACTCCGCCCCACGGCACTGAGTAGGAGTCGCGGAAGCCAGCCGTTCTCTCCGCGCTCGCTCCTGCGGAGGGAACGGCTGGCGTCTGCGGCTCGCGAACGGCGTCGCGTCCACACTGACCGCCAACGAGAAACCGCTCGCGCCGTAAGTACGCGGCGACGTACAGAAGTTCTAATCTGGACTCTTGTCGAAAAAGTCGGCGAGGAATCCGGTGTCCGTGATTGGCCGGCGAAGCGTTCGACTCTAGCGCCTGTCAATCACGGCGGTCGCATTCCGTGCCGACTCTTTCGCCAAGTGTTAGGATTAGAGCACCAGCTATCGCTTTTCCTTCTTTTCACGTTGTGGACAAAAAAGACTCCGTTCTTTTATCGGCGTCTGTGGCGGTAGCCAACCCACGAAGACAACTAGCGCGCGCCATGGCGACGCACTTTTCGGGGAGCTTGATTGGCTGTGTGGGATTGTAGCGTCAGCTACTGTAGGACTTGAAGTTAAATGAGGTATAGTCAGCCGGCAACAGCCAGGAGGCGCCAGGAAAGTGAGAGCCCACGGTTATACCCTGTCTTGTTGTAACTCGGCAAAGGGTAAACGATAATCCCCAGATTGCGTGCCGACGGCTCCGAAATGCGCGACGTATACGAGCGCAACGCACACATATTGGAGCATGGCGCAGCGAAAAACCTGGTAATTTTTCGCAGTAAAAGCGCACTTCGGTGATACATAGTCACGTTTCGATTCTCCCACCAGAGCCGTAGCTTTCACCGTACTGGCATCTTACGCGATCAAGGCTTCCTGGGATACCTAGTATTTTCTGCTTCAGACGCAAGGTCAAGCGGCGTCACGAGAGTAAAAGCTCACGTTTGAACAATGCAGCTGCCACTCCCAAGCATGCCCAATGTTTTTTTTGTTTTTTTTTTTGTTGTTTTCTTTTTGCAGGTTGTTTGTAGCGATACTGGTACTCGAGTCGTATTGCATGCCTCCGCCGCTCATTTATTTCACGATTTCGCCGTGCACATGCGACCCTTCTGTCCTCAAAATTGCAGTGTTCGATTTCGGAATTGCGTTTGAAGCAAAAAATAATCCTATGGTGAGACCACCTTTAAATCGTATACACCTCAGGCGCGAACGCGGAGTTGTTTTAAAAGCGAGTTGCAACAGCACACCTGAATACCGCGAACAGTTATGCCGAGTCAGGTAACCTGGCCATATATGTCGAGGTGAAAACCAAAAGTCTAGTGCCATCTTTCACGTTAGTATTTCTGTCGGGGCGTTTCGAGCTCGCGTAATGAGCGTTCAGTGCTGCGACTGCTCTGTCAAGGAAAGAGCGAAAGTCCACGAGGCGTTTGGCGGCAGCTCCTTAAATAAATAAGTTACGGCCTATTTTAAACTTAACAGCCACGTATGCGCCCTCCATGACCACAAGCAGTTTTGTATGGACCGGCGTTCCTGGAAAGCGTTCCTTCTAGGAGGAACGAAGGAACGCTGATGTTCCATTTTGCAAAGGTTGAACTGACACTGGAACTCGTTACCTTTTTCCAGGAACGGAAAAAGAAACGGCGTTCCTTTTCTTCGTCCAGTGGGGTAATTTTTATTTTATTTCTAAGTGGGAAATTTTAAAAGTAAAGAAAAGCACAAACACTACGTTTACGTAGATCAAGATCTCGATATCTTTTTTATTACTTCTCTTACGGTATCCTT